GAGGGTGAGGTGGGGGCTGGTCATGGGCCAGCTCTCCAGTACACAAGGACATTGCATTAAGTGTGTGAGGGAAAGGCATATGTAGGGCTGAACTGTTACAGTCACACGGAGTTGTGAATCTCATAGGTGCTGTGTGTCACAAGGGAACTAGAACTGTGCAGGCTGTGTAAATAACACTTACTGTGAACAGTAATTGAACTCCAATGCTGTGTGTCCAACAATATTGGATGAAAGACGTGCATGGATTCTCCATGCAACTCATTCATATTTTTTACTGTCACAACACATGCAGAGAAGAGAAATGAGAAGAAGAAATCTCAGCATTACCTCTAATCCTGTGCTTTTAACTGGGGGTTTGTAAAGATATCTCCTCATTCTTAAAACTCTAAGAAAGCAGATATGGAAGAAAACAGATATGGTCAGCAGGAGATGGTGTGTGTGTGTGTCTGTGTAACTGTGTATATGTGTGAGTATATATGAGTGGATATCATTACGAGTATGTGTGAGTGTGTGTGTGAGTGTGTGGCATGCATATGTATTTGTGTATGAGTATGGGTGACTTTGCATATGTGTATGAGTGCATACATGAGTGTGTATGTGTGTCTTTGTATTTGTGTGACTGTGCATGTATGGGACTGAGTGTATGTGTATGAGAGTGAGTGTTGCAAGAGTGTGTATAAGTATGTCTGAGTGTGTATGTGTGTGAATGAGTGTGTGTAGGTGTGTGTCAGTGAGTGTGATTGTGTGTGTGTGTGTGGTTGTGTGTTCACAGAGTAACTACCCTGGTTGTCTGGTTGAGGGAAACAGAGGGGAGAGCTGCGTTTTGAGCATCACATGTGGATAATCATGAACAACCATCACTTCAGTAGAAAGTCTCAATTTGCCCTAAACTCAGAGAGGAAAATGGAAGAATTTTGAGTGGAAATGGAGAGATTCTGAAGGAGAATTGGAAAGACTGATGTGGACAGTGAGCAGGAGTAGGAACTAAGGGTATGGGACTCAGAACCCAGGCAGGTGGTTGATGAGATGGTTGCCTTGGGGATGTGAAGTGTGACCTTCTCTCCCTGCCTCATTGACTGGAGACCCCAAGCTTCCATGACAGGGAGCCACGGGAGGGGGGGCAGGGAGAAGCCTGGGGTCTGTGCAAACACTCCGCTCCCACAGGAGAGTTCAGTGCTTCCTTTAGTGGAGACTACATCTCACGCTATTTCCACCTGACTCTGTTTCTCTGGGAGAAATGGGCTCTCTTCCTCTCTCTCTCCCTCCCTCTCCTTGTGGTGAATCATTTGAGTCATCCCTCTGTCCTCAGAGCACTTTGATGCTGGGTGTCACCCTCCTCTTCAAACTCTGGAGACTATTCAGGGTCCGGAAAAAAATTGTCATTCATGGGAGCTCTGTTAGAGGCAGAACACCACCCCCACACTTTGTCAGTTGTTGCAATGCCACATCCTGAATGGCTGAAGAACCCTGGAGCAGCCTGCTTCCTCTGATGCTCTCACTTCCATTATTTGTAGCTCAGCAATACCAGCACCACCCCCACAAGTGTGATCAGAATTCACCCTGTCTGAGATATGGGGGAAAGGAAACCAGACATTCAGACTTACATGTAGACGTTGGAAGTTTGAGAAAGTGGAAACCAGAGATACCTCATCTAGTGGAACTGAAGAAGGGTCACAGTCAGACCACAGTGCAGAGCCATGCTAGCATGACAGAGACCCTCCCAGTGCAGTCGACAGCTCCTGGTCTTTTGGTTGTGGGTGCAGAGCCAGCTGGGGGAGTCTGTGGAACAAGGTAAGTTTCACACCTGCCTTACTCCATACACAAAACTCATGCTTCAATGGACAACAGATTGAAGAGTAAATTATTCACTTTTTCTTTAGCAAAAATACCTTTTTTCTTTGTGGGAAGCTCTTTTAAAATCATCTATTATTATTATTATTCTAGTACAGTTTTCCCAATGGTCCCCCTTTCCCTCATTTTCCCATCCCATTTCCCACTACTAGAGTCAATTTGCACACTGTTGTTCAAGTCTGTGGGTCATTTGTACATGTTCTTTGACTAGTTTCTTCTCTTTTTTCCTCACTATTATCCCTTTTCCTCCTCCCCTCTGTTCAATGTCAATCTGTTCATTGTTTCCATGCTTGCAGTTCTATTTTCTTTACTAGCTTATTTCATTCATTAGATTCCTCTTATAGGTGAGATCTGGTGTATTTGTCTCTCACTGACTACCTTATTTCACTTAGCATCAAATCCTCCAGTTCCATCCATGCTGTTGTGAAAGGCAGGAGTTCTTTCTCTCTTACTGCTGCATAGTGTTCCATTGCATAAATATTTCATAATCATTTTATCTACTCATTTACTGGTGGGCACATGAGCTATTGCTGCACTTGGGTATTGTAAACAGTGCTGCTATGAACATATGGGTGCATAATTTCTTTTGAATTGGTGAATCGGGATTCTTAGGTATATTTCCATGAGAGAGAGGGGTGGGATGCGTGAAGGAAAGTAAAAGAGGATAATTGAAAAAAAACTGCTAGGAAATAAAAATAAAAAATAAAGTTAAACACACACACACACACACACACAGAAACGTCAGACAAGAGACACACCTCCATGGGCTCCAGATGTGGGGTGGAGCTGTCCACAATCCAGTGCTGAATTATCCAACTCTGGGGATTCACATACAAATAGGGGAGAATCAGGGGAGATGCAGGTGGCCCATGGTTTTGAGGAAAGCCTCCTACATACACGTGCACATTCCTGGTCAACGCTGGACTCTTTCTGGATCAGTAGGACCTCTGGACAGTGGATGAGCTCTCCTGCCTTGTGGATTCTGTGATGACTTTTGTGGATGTACTTTGCTGTGTCAGGTTGGTTCTGTTCTTACATTGGGAAAAGGGGTAAAGTCTCAGTGGACATTTTTTGTAGCAGAGTTTTTGAAGGTTTGTTTTTCAGTTGTTAAAGTGAAGCTCAAGAGGCAAAGTGACAGGATGTGGTGGGCAGAGTCCCCACACCACAGCCTGTCCAGGGCACAAGGTGCCTCTCACACAGGAAGAGAACTGACTGCTTTTAACCCTAAAAATAGCAGGTGCCAAGGGTTTCACTTGAGCCACACCACTCAACACCCCTCGTGTCCAAGGTGACACATTGAGTTTTCCTAAACTCTGCAATCACATATTGATTTAACATGGCTTGCTACCATTTTCAATTCCCATCCATTGTACAGATTATGGCATTCAATATTCTTTGGCCAAGTTCATAAACTAGCGAATGATATAAAACTATTTTCAGAAGAAATATGAAGTTTGTCTCCTACCTAATATTTACTAGGTCTAGTATCAGTTGTATATTTTGCACTCTCTTGATGAAGTGAAAGCAGTTAACTGGACAGTTTGTGCATTTTTAAAACCAAATAAAATTTGAAAAACTTGTTTTTGCTGAAATCATTTGTTGTGTATGAATGAAAACCCAGGTCCTTCTTTCTCTATGGAGAGAAGTGAGGGAGGGAGGGAGAAAAAGAGAAGGAAAGAGAAGGGAACAGAAGGGAACTCAGTAAAGTTGTTATAACAAATTACACCTAAATGCATGACTTCAGACAGCAAAAACTTTTTAAATTGACTAAGTTCTGGAGGCCAGAGACATAACTGACAGTTGCAGATCTACAAATGAATAGATAGATGGGTAGATTAAACAGCCTGAGAGATAATGTTAGAGGCTGACACACAGATGCATAGACACACAGATAATAGGTAAATGGATACATATGTAGATAGACCAAGAAACTCTCCAACATTTGCTCTTGCCACATCACATTACATTTTTTTTGCTTTATGTAAGTTTTTCTTAAATCAAGAATACAGGCAGTTTTTCCAGATTTATGGAGATATAATTGACATATAACATTGTGTGAATGTGAGGTATACAGTAGGTTGATTGGATTCATCTATATGTTGCAGAATGCTACCACCTCAGCTTAGGTAACCATAGTATCAAGAAGTCACATCACCGCCGCTTACTTCTTGTGATGAGAACATTTCAGATACACTCTTGTAGCCCATTTCCAGTATATGACACGGTCTGGTTAACTGTACTCACCAGGCTGTATGTGAGGCCCCAGGATGTGCTAATCTCATAACTGAAAGTCTATGCTCTTTGAACAACTTCTCTCCTTTCCCCCCCTCCCCATGGTCACCGCCATTCCACCCTCTGTACATGATTGGCTCTGGTAGATTCCACACATACGTGAGGTCATTCAGTACTTATATTCCTCTGTGTGATCTGGCTGAGTTAACAAAATGGCCTCAAGGCCCATTTATGTTGTCTCAAATGGCAGGATTTTTCTCTTCATTTTTAGGCTTGGTATTATTACAGATATCCCTGTTTCCCCTGACCTGTGCCTGGTCTCACCAGCCTCTGTCGCCCCATCCCTCTGGCCCTCAGCAACCTGTTGTCTGTGTTTGTGAATATTGCATGTATGCCCTTTGGGAGTACATACGACTTCATCCAGCCTCTCTCCTCCCTCCCCTCTGACAATGTCAGGCTGCTCCCTGTGTCCTTGCCTCTGTTTCTACTTTGTTCTTTTTCTTGTGGTTGAATAGTATTTAACTTTATATATATTTGGACTTTGGAAAATTCCACAAATGGTATCATTATTAAGAATGATTACTTTTTCAGTGGCACCCCACTAGGCTGTCCCTTCAAACGCCAAGTGAGGGCAGTTCTGGGGAAATGGAACATGTGGCATCTGACACAGATGGGAAGAATGATGAGGCTGGAGAGGGGGCTGGTGTCAGTTTGTGTTCATCTTTCCAGGGTCACATCTAATTTTTCCCATTTATTTAATGACGGATTCCAGGTTAACTCCTGTGAACTGAGGAGATTAGGACTCAATAATGTCCATCAGGTCATGTAGTGATTGGAAAGGTCATTTTATTATATGAAACTGGAAGAGAGCATAAGGTTTTAGATGTGTGGACCCCAATGGGCATGTGGGAAGGACCCTCATGGCACAAGGGTGAGAGCAGGGTGGGGTTGTTACAGGGAGTCAGCAAAGAGAATGGGAGAGAAAAGACATTTAATGGAGGAAGAGTCCTACACAGGGAGCACTCAGACACTCCCTGCACCCAAAGCTTATTCTCTCCCCTGGACACCTCAGCAGTTTCCCAACCTGTGGTCCAGACTGTCCTTCACCACCTCCTGGGTCATCAGATGGGCTCCACGGCTCCCCCCACTCTGAACAGTGCCCTGTCCCCTCTGTGTTCACATCTCAGTTTTATAATGGGTCCTCACTCACTGTTTAAAGCCTGAAACAGCAGCACCTTGAACCCGATGAGGATCAGTCCAGCCAAGCCCAACCTGATGAGATTCTCCATTGTGTAGTCCTGGGGGTCGGAGGCTAGGAATTGTGGGTAAAGAGGTGACAGAAACCAGGGCAGGCCAAAGTTACCCCAGGATCCTGGATGTCCACCCAGCACACCTGCCTCCCTCTGGCAGCACCTGACCCTCTGCACCCAGCTCCACAACTGAGGGTTTTCCCACTCCCCACCCCTAGGCTAATAGTGTTGGCTGCCCCTGAAGATCATTAAATGAGGGTGTGAGTGAGGACCTGGGGAGACACAAGCCTTCCTCCTGGGGTCTGTGCTCCCTGATGCCCCACTTCTCAGACTGTAAGTTTCACGTGGTGGTGTCATAAGCCCTGACTGTACTCTGCCAGGTTTCTGTCTACTCCTTGGATCATCTCAACCCCTTGTGGTTCCTGAACCTGCACATATTCACTTTGGATCAGAGTTTACTGTGCCCCACACCTCAGGATTAGTAATAAATGGTCACAATAAGGCAGTTCTGTGTTCTGGGTTCCATCTGAGAGGCAGACCCCAGAAGCTCATTCCCCTACAGCTGAGAGATCCACTAACTCAACAGCTGATGAACCAGGGTCAATGGATTAGGGATTGGTGTGAGGGACTCCTGAATTACCTCCTCTATGGAGCCCCTTAAATCCCCCCATTTATTACTGTTTCAGACTCTGAGGAGACAGAGACTTGAGCTGTGTGAGCTCAGAGAGGACAAGGTTGAGGTCCCCTCATCTGAGACCAGGGCTCCAGGGTTTTCCACAGTGATGGGGAGGTGTGGTGTGAGTTGTATCACCTGTAGGTCTCCCCATGGGCTGAGGTCACAGGACGCATAAATAATCAGCAGAAGAGAGAATGGCTGACCCCTTCATGGACAAAGGAAAGTGTCCTTTGGTCTCTGTCACTGACACATCAGGGTCACCTTCTCTCTTAAGGCTACTGTGGGGCCCCGTTGGACTGAGAGAAAGGGTCTGTCATGGAGCCTTCCTAGAGGGAGGGGGTTGGGCTGAGCTGGGGTTCTGTCTTCCTCAGCTCTGTGAGACCCCTTCTGTCACCTAATGTCAATGCAGGCCTGTGGGCAAGAGGTGACCAGGGATGAACCCTGACATTCAGAAAAGAGAAGGGACCACCAGCCCTTCAGCCGGAGCAGCTGAGCCGGGACCTGAACCAGGTCTCACTCTAGCCCTGGTTCCCTCCTCTGAGTGAGCACCTGAACTGAAGAAAAGTGCCCGAAACTCCAGAAATTGTCTGCTTATCACTCCCCGTGCACTGTCACTGTCACTGCTAAAAGGGGACAGTCTCCATAATAACACATCCTGGCAGGCTTCTCTCTGACGCCTCTCCTACCAGGAGGTCAGAGTCAGAGCTGAAAGGAAATCTAAGCTCCGGGCCACGATTCTCTCCTTTTACACTTGGAGACACTGAGGCACAGAGAAGGGAAGGGCGTGTTTAAGTCAGGTGCCTCCAGAGGTGCCTGAACTTGCACAGGAATCAGCCCCCAGCCCCCACAGACACACCCTCCACCTCCCCACAGAGACCCTCACATACTGCTCTGTGGGTCTGACTCTGAGTTGGGGAAGGGCTGATCCTCAGAGCCTTCTGGAAATTCAGGATGGGGGTGAGGGCCAGGGGCTGCCTTCTTCCCACTTGATTCAGCTTTTCCTTCCCCAGCCTGAAACCCAACATGTCCCTCTGCCATGCCCACCCCCTCTGTCACCTGTCAGCCTCAGAGTCCTGGGGACCCTGTGGTTCTGGAAACTCTGCCTGACTCCCTGGGACACAAGTCCATCCCTGAGTGCTTGGGGAACATTAGAACACCTGATGGACCCTCAGAACTTCCTGGGGCTACTCTGTGCTCCTTCTGAGCAGAGTTCTCAGGGCCTCACCATCTCTGGAGATGGGTCTTGTGGGTCGGGGTAGAGAGCCTCCAATGGGTTCTGGAAATGAGGACATAAGGAGATGAGGGTCTGGGACCAAACCTGGAGTCAGCTTATCACCCAGACTTTTCTCCTATGTCTACTCTGTGGCCCCCAAGACACTCCCCAGCTCACCTACCACCTTCCTGATGCAGGTGAGGGGGATGGGTTGGCAGGACCAGGGGAGTCTATGTGGGCAGATCTTTGCTAGGTGACCACCACTCAGAGTCTCTCCTCATCCAACTTCAGATGTCTCTTGGGGACAGAATTCTGAGCTGACTGTCCTCAGAGAGGATGGGGTCAGGGGCCCTCACCTGAGATGTGAAGCTCCAGGGGGTCACTGGGGTCAGACCACTCCTGGGGATGATTTCTAAAATATCCATAGCATCTGAATGTCCACTTGTGGCTGGGGTTCACGGGGCCCACAGTGAACAGGGCCTGGAACTGCCCACTGAGGTTTGATTGTGCATCCAGCATCCAGGATATCTTGTCTTCTCCTTCCTTAGTCAGAGTGAATCTGTCAAATACCTTCTGTGAGCCACACTGGAGGGTCACGTTCCCTCCTGAGGTCACAGAAGGGCTGGGCAGGGCTGAGAGCCTGGGTTTGCTATAGAATCCTAGGAGAGAAGGAGGCAGTGTGTGAAATGGGGCTCACACCTCCCCCACCTCCCCCAGGGCTGAGCTGTAAGGGGGAGACACTCTGTGAGCATCCTCCTTTTTGAGGGCAGATCCTGGGGCTGGGACCCCTGAGTGTCCTCTCACCTGTCACCACCAGCTCCAGGGGGTCACTGTCCTCTGAGCAGCCTACAGAGCTGAGGTATTTACAATAATATTTCCCTGCATAGACGTCTTTCATGAAAAACTTGGCCTTGTCCCTGGGCTCCGGCAGTTTCTGTGTGTCCAAAGGTGTATTCATTTCTTCATCATACAGAGAGTACTCCTGGGCCTCCAGGGTCCCCTGACACCAGATAGTCACAGGGCTCCCATGAGGGATCACAGGTCCTGGCTCAGCCCAGATGGTGGGTCTGGGGAGGGTCCCTGGAAAGAATCAGAAGCTGCATTAGACAGCCCTTCCCCACTCCCTCATTTCCCAGCTCAGCCCATGTCCCCCCTCTTTTATCCCAAAACCTCTTGCTCTATCCTGAGCCCCAGGGGTGAAGTATGTGGTAGGACAGGGAGGTTGGGGAGGACTCACCATTCTGCTCACAGGTTTTCTGGCCCAGACTCAGCCCTGAAAGAGAGTCCTTGTCAAATTTGCACCCGGATGTCTGAGCTGATTTCCTTAACTCGGGGCCTCATCTGCTTCAACTGCCTGAGCCTGAGGGTCCCCATGAACAAGCATGTGCAGCTGCCTCATCCCCTCCTGCTGCCTCATCCCCATGCCTCACAACTGACCAAGGCAGAGAAGAGCAGGGAGGATGGACATGGTGCCGTCTGCTCTGGGGGCTCCTGCTCTGCAGGTGGACGAGGCCCTGGGCCTGGAGGACAGAGATGCACAGGATGTGGTGAGTCAGGGGCTGCTGCCACCCTTCTGGGTTCCCACCCCTGTGGACCCACAGCAAGGGGATGGCCCCGCCCTGGGCCTGGCTCTGGGTGTTTCCATGACGAGGGCTCTGGTGGACACGAGGCACTCAGGGGACTCTCAGCTTAGATCTGGGGTCTCTTCTCACTGCCAGGACCCTGTGCCTGGTCTGTGCTCCTGTCAGAGAGGGTGGGACCCAGACTGTGGTCCTCAGCCCACCCTCTAAAAGCTGACTCTGAATAGAACTCGCTACTGATTTTCTCAACCACCCTGAAACAGCATTTACTTTTCGTCTCTGACTTGTCCACAGACAATTATTTACTAATCAGCTAGTGCTGCTGAGTACTTGTGTCAGAACCAGAAATACATCTGTAATCCAGGAGACTGGCTTTCTGTACCTTGAGAACTGTCTTTAGCAGAAAATGAGCATCCTAATTTAAAAGTGAAAATGACTTTTCCTTATAAGGGAAAAATGAGAAAAATGTGAGAATACCTGGGACCATAAGTAGACTGTGAGGGAATAGCCGTGTTTCTTTAATCCTCATAATAGATTATGTTTGTTGATTTTATAGAGTGAGGAAGGGAGAGACAGATAGACAGACATTGATGAGAGAGAGAAACATTGATTAATCCTGCCCCTGTATATGTCCTGATTGGGGATCAAACTCACAACCTTTTGGTGTATAGGACAACACTCCAAGCAAGTAAGCCACCTGGGCCAGGGCTGAGGGAAGGGCTGTTAGATGAGGTGGAACCCCAGGAGGTGGGAGTGAGAATACTCTGCAGAGAAAAGAATATCATAGGAAACTCTAGAGACAGAGACTGTCTGACAGCAGAAAGGGAGGGTGAGGTAGAGGTTGTTCATGGTCTTGGTTTCCCCACCCAAAGATGTTGGATTAAGTGTGTGAGGCCGAGGAATATGTAGGAATGAACTGTTACAGTCACACTGGGTTATGAATCTCATATGTGCTGTGTGTCACAGAGGAACTAGAACAGTTCAATGTGTGTAAGTGATGTGTAATGTGAACAGTAATTGAACTTCAGCCCTGTGTGTCCAACACTATTAGATGAAAGGCTTCCATGGATTCACCACACAATTCATGCATATATTTTAGCTCTTAGGACACATGCAGAGCAGAGAAATGAGGAGAAGAAATCTCAGTGTTGCTTCTAATCCTGTGCTTTTAGCTGGGGGCTGGGGAAGGAATTCTCTAGCTCTATAGAACTCTAAGCAAGAAGCTATGGAGACCAGATATGGTCAATAGGAGATGGTGTGAGTGTGTGTCTGTGTGTGCAAGTGTATATGTCTGTGAGTGTACATGTGTGAGTTGGTGTCAGTGATATACATGTGTGTGAGTTTGTGCATGTGTGAGTGTGACCGTATGTTCACAGAGTAACTGCACCTGTCTGGTTGAGGGCAGCGGCAGTGAGAGCTGAAGATGGAGGGTCACAGTTGGATGGATGATCATGAACAGCTGTGAGTTCAGAAGAAAGGGTCTAAATTTACCCTAAAACAGTGAGGACCATGGAAGAGTTTTGAGCAGAAATGGACAGATTCTGAAAAGGAGGTGGAGAGACTAGTGAGGAGGGTGAACTGCAGAACCCAGGCAGGTGGTGGATGTGACCGCTGCAGGGGGATGAGAAGGGTAACCTTCCCTTCCTTCCTCATTGACTGCAGACCCCAAGGAACCCTCATGACACAGAGACAGGAGGAGGGGCAGGGATAAACCTGTGGTCTGTGCAAATACTCTGCCTCTGCTGGAAATCTCAGTGCTCCCTCCTGGCCCTGGAATGCAGGGGCTGCATCTTACACTATTTCCACTTGACTGTTTCTGTAAGACGTGAGCTCTTTTTCTCTCCCTCTCCTTGGGGTCAATTATTTGAGTCATTTGTGCTTCTGCAAAGCACCTTTGATGCTGGAGGTCACTCTCCTCTTCAAACTCTGTAGAATCTTCAATATTCAGACAAGATGATATTCATGAATGTTTTTGTTAGAAGGCACCACACACACACACACACACACACACACACACTTAAAATATCAGTTGTTGCAATACCACATCCTGAATGGCTGAAGGACCCTTGAGCATGCTGCTTCCTCTGTTGCTCTCACTTCCCTCATGCGTAGCCCGGTGATACCAACCCCACCCCTGCAAGTGAAGTCAGAATTTACCCTATTTGAGATATGGGGGAAAAGAAACCAGACATGGACTTAGGTGGAGATGTTGGAGGTTTGAGAAACTGAAAAGCAGAGATGCCTTGTCCAGTGAAGGAAGACTAAAACCCAGACCACAGTGCAGGGTCACGTGACCACAACAGAGACCCTCACAGTGCAGTGGTGCTGGGCCAGCTGGGGGGGCAGTCTGGGGAATACAACTGACTTCATACCTGCCTCACTCCATTAACCTTTCTTCTTTACCTCCAACCCTGCCGTGGTGAGCTGTACTTACGTCTAAAATGTATATATTGCTCATTAAATACTCTTGAAAACTTACTGAAGCTAGTATCTTCCAACATGTTTGCAGCCTGCCGGACACCTGCCCAGGGGCCAGATATCAAGGAGGTAAGAGGAGGGAAGACATGGCTTTGTGAGGGGCATCCCACCCATCCAGGACCAGCCTGTTCTTTAAAGGAATGAAGCTGCAGGGGTTTCCTGTACTGGATCCGGGGGGAGGTGGAACCAAGGTACTCCATGTTTTTACCCCAGTAACACTGTGTTTTCAAGGCATTGAATGGAGTTCATTCCCAGTCCCCCACCCACTGCAGCCCTGGATGTCAGGATCTGGGTGAGAGAAGGGGGTGACGGTGTCTCACAGCAATATCCGTTTCCCAGGCTTGATGTCCTAAAGCATCGGGGTCTCCCTAACCACGTGGTCCCCTGGACAGAGAGTCCTGCTTTCCCACAGTCGTTTGCCTGGTTGTCTTTGGACTCACACACTGATTCCACACATACCCATGCTCACAAACACAGACAGAAACCCAGACATACTCACCCAACCCCCAAGCCTGCACCCATGTCCAGGAAACAGCACATTCACCTTTTCCATGGTATGAACGTTAGAATAACAACAGTGGGGTTTGCGGACAGTTGTCTCTGTGGGCTTTCCTGTGTGAGCATGCAGAGAGCAAACCGCGGTGACCTTATAAGGGACGCTGCCATTTTTGAAAAAGTCACTCGTCATTTACAAGGTATTGGAGTGCGCACTGTCAGGGACAATAAGTTTCCATAACTGCCTGTGATGATGAAATTACTCAAGTCCCAGAATTGTGTGCACTTTCCTCAAGTTTCATACAACACAGAGTCGAGCAGGGCTTGTCACCCAAGCTGGGGTGGGTTTTCAGGTCATGGGATGCTTGGTCCTAAGCTCAGAGCTCTGGTCAGCCCCCAGGACAAGCACTGTTGTTCCTGGACAGGATGCACTCGGTGAGTTTCTTCAAATGCTCTTTTACAGCAAAGGATGGGAAAATATGTTAAGATTACCAACATCTTCCAAAAACAGTTACAGGTCCCAAATGTTTTCTAGAAAATATGCTAATAAACCAACAAAAAAGTAAAATGGGGTCAAAGTAAAAATAGCATCATGACTTACAAGAGATGAGTGAAGGGATAAGTAAGACTCTGTCTCCGGGCAGCTGGTAACAAACTTGCGCTTGTCAGCATGGTCCGCTCCCCAGGGACCATTTTAAAGGGTTTTCTTTCTACAGACTTTTAGGGCATCTGGTAACTCCGCTTTGGGCTGGAACATTCTGGAGGCACCATGGTCATGATGACCTTTGTTCTACAAAGAGATGACCTTTGTTCTCCCATGATGACCTTTGTTCTCCCAGAGACCCCTGAGTGGACCCACCACAAGGGTTCACAAGCAGAGCTGTGCCAGGATCACAGCATCCAGGAGAGTTGTCCTGCTGCTGCTTCATGCTCCTTCTGGTCCAGCGTGATGGAGCGTGGAGAGCCAGCAATTAGAAATCAGTCTGTTGGGCATGTGAGCATGGTGGCACGAAGCTTCTGGGGACAAGAGTAACTGAGACCATGAGATAGTGACCCTGGAGTGAAAGTGACATCTACACTGAAATGCTCAAGAAATCTAGGAATGTGTCTGTTGGAGGAATATAGCACATTCTAACCCCAAGAGCTGAGCGGGAGTTTTATTGCATGTGGTAGTTTGTGGGTTGTTTCTGTAAATGCTGCTTCAATTAGAAAGTAAAGGAAAAAAGGGTAAGAAGGAGAGGTCAACAGAAGCCAATGTTCCCAGGTGCACTGTCTACTAAGAACAGATGTTTGGTTGTTCTCTGAAAGACAGTGGTTAACAAAAAAGAAAATGCACAAGCAGCAGGTGGTAGTATCAGAATTCGGATAAAACTATATATGACAGAAATTTTTGTGAATTTAAGACGTGATAAGACATTCCAAGAACCCTGGCTGGTATGGCTCAGTGGATTGAGTGCTGGCCATGAACCAAAGGGTCTTCGGTTCAATTCCCAGTCAGGACACATGCCTGAGTTGTGGGCCAGGTCCCTAGTAGGTCACACGCAAGAGGCAACCACACATTGATGTTTCTCTTCCTCTCTCTTTTCTCCTCCCTAAAAATAAATATAAAATCTTTAAAAAATAAAGTAAAACATGTTAAAATAATTTAATTAACTCTAATTTCAATGGAAGTAGCCATAGATTTCTTGTGTCTACAATCCTGGACACCACAGATGGAATCTACTTCATCTCTGTAGAATTTTATTGAAGAATCAGACAAAGTAACTGGCGGAGTACATACATCAGGCTCTGTAGAGTTTGGTTTAGTAGAATTTCAGAAAAATGTAGGGTGGTAGTGATCAGATTCACAGGATGTACAGGTGAGTGCATAATGTCTCTGGATGTGGTTGGGTAGTTTCCACAGTCCTACAACTGCTGAGCCATTATGAAGAGGTTGTGTGATTCTGAAGATGCTCCTTCAAGCCCAAAGTTCTTCTGCTGTTATGTGGAGGTGTCAGGCTGGGTTTGAGAAGAAGGAAGAGTGTTCCTGGGGGGTCTCCTCCTAGAAAGAGACCCCGGTCCTTGCCTGGCAACACTGTATGTGCTCAGAGCCCAGGGCCAGGCCTGGCCTCAGCATGGGCCTGGTTTACCCTGAATTCCATGTAGACACTGGGCTCATTGGAAACATCCTTAGTACTCAGGGAAGACGGCGTGAGTCCTCTCTGTTGGAGATCCAGTTGGGCATATATCACACTGTGTGTGTCTTCTGCTGCTGGGTCCTAAGAGGAGAAAGGTAAGAACAATGGGCCAAGGCTTAATGGTTGCAGGCAGGATTATGGGATGTGTGGAGGAGTGGAAGATGTGGTCAGAGTTTGGGCAGGGAGAACTCACCTCGCCATTCATCATCTGGTCTTCCTTGGGCTCTGGTTCTCTCAAGGCAGCACCTGTGAGTGGAAGAGTGCATCAGAACTCTTGGGAGGGTGATGCCTGATCCTCACCACAGGTTAGGACACAAAAGCCAAAAATAAGGAGCGGTGTGCTTAGCATGTCTACCCAACTAATTCCAGAATTGTCCCATCAACACAACCGGGCACAGTTTGACTGTCCCCAGGTCCTGTCCTAACCCATCACCCCCACCTTACACACTGTCTTGTAGACCATCCTCAAGAGAGTGGAATCCTCATTGCTGTGGTAGATGTTGGGGAAGGGTGATTGTTGATTTAAAGAAAAAAGTGGGGACCCCTTGGTCCTTCTGGAAAACATCAAGGATCTCAACAACAAAAACCACAGTTCAACCCACAGGAAGTGAACATGCATCTCTGTGCTCCAGTCACATCCTCCACCCCACTCAGGTGACACTCTATTCTCTTCCTTCAGACTTACGTTTTTTGATGAAACACCAGTAATACAGGAGAGCAGCGAGGGAAACACCAATGAGGAGGAAGGCTACGGAGAGTCCAATGAGAATGTACAGCTTGCTGGAGTTTTCTTGAGGAGGCGATGCCTCTGTCAATAAGCATAGGATAGCCCTAACCAGTGTAGTTCAGTGGGTTGGGCATCATCATGCAAAGCAAAAGGCTACTGGTTCAATTCCTGATCAGGACAAATGCCTGTGTTGTGGATTTGGTCCCTGGTCAGGGTACATGTGAGAGTCAACTGATCAATGTTTCTCTCTTCACTGATGTTTGCCTCCTTCTTTCTTCCTCCCTCCCCCTTGTCTCTAAAAATACATAAATAAACTCTTTAAAAATTACCAAATGGATAACGAGGTGGGGAGAAATGGGGAAGGGTTTTCAGAAATGTGTATAAAGGACATATAGGAAAAACCAAAGAGGGGTAGGGTCAAGGGTGGGAAGTGGGGATGGCTGAGGTGGTGGGGAGTGATAGGGGGAAAACTGACACAACTGTAGTTGGTCAACAATAAAACAACTATAAATATTTAAAAAATAAAATAAAATTTAAACTAAACCAAATGATAGCAACTCCATTTACTGGTTTCTTGTTTGTGCCAATGCACACTGGATTCCTAACCTCCCTAACCCTGACCAATCACTTTCTTTATGTTCCAACATGTATAAAAAACCCAGGAGAAGTGATAACAGTGGTCCAAAGCAAAGAGTACCCCATATTTTAGACAAGCAGAGATCTGAACCCAGGTCTACCAGGCTCTAACATGCTTTTGATTGTTGACCCTCAATTGGACATTATTCTTATGCATGAAAGGAATCCCCTCGCATCACCATAGCTGACCCCACTTCTCTCGGATTCCTCCTTGCCCCACTCCAGCTGCATATTCTGAGACCTGAGAAGGTGGGGCCTGAGGTGGAAGAGGGTCCTGACTTTATTCCAGGGTCCACATGTGGAACTTGCTCTGAAGAATCTTGATCACTCTCCCCAAAATAATTAACACTGGGGTTGGTGGAGCTAATCATGATATGAAGAAGTGAGCCCAAAAGGGATACATCATGGTGTGGAGCAGCTTTTCTGTGACCTTCTAGGGCCAAAGGACTGTCACATTTATGAGTTCATCTTGTCCTCACTGGCATTATAAGCCTAATGTTCCAGCTGAGAAAATTTACTCCCTACAACTAGAACAGCTATCAGCGGAGCCCCCGAATCTGACTCCTCCCTTTCATCTCTGAAGGATGCTAGGCTCCCCGCCCAGCTGTTCCTTTCTCTGACAGCCCAGGTGGGAGTTTCCACCCAGTGATGCAGAGAAGAATAAATATGACCAAGTTGCCCCAGCTGAGAAATATGAGACCTATGTTCTGCAAGGTCTTTCCTGGTGAGCTACTTCTGAGTCCGTCTGGAATCCTCCTCCTCAAGTCCTTCCCCAGTACCTTCATGGCTAAGCTGACGAGAGTTTTCCCCACCAGAACTGGCCAAGCCTCTCACCACCCTCATGGCTTCAACTCACATTCCTCCGAATCAATTATATTCATGCTTGCAATTTGTCTCTTCTAAAAAAATATCGTGCGTGCCATGACACTTTTTTGATACACGCATTTGAATGTCTTCCGGTTTCAGAGAGAGAAACATCCATGTTCCTTTATTGCTTATCAACCTTTCCCAAATCTGCTCCTAGTTATCCCATCTCCACTCTACCTCTGTGCTGGTGTTCTGAACATCCCAACCTCATTGCCATGTTGGTTTCATGACATTTACTGTCCCATGGGTTGGGAATATCCTTCTGCCAAGCTTTCACTGTCATTAGGTGGCCTCTGAAGATGCCACTGTCAAAAGGGTCTTCCTTGCCACTCACTCGAACTTGTCCAATTCTGCTTTCTCTATCCCATGGCTTAGCTCAATGTACTTGAATGACTGAATCAAATAATTGTCATTCATTTATTCATCACATTATTTCTCCTTCTCCCACACACATAGGCCACCTGATGACAGACAGTGAAACCCTCAGTATGATCTGCATGAACACACTTTAGCTGTGGAGTACTGAATTCACAGATTCCTAACAGATGGACAGTAAGTATTGAAGGCATTCATTTAAATGCCTTCATTTAAGGGTAAAAAATGACCTTTTTACCCTTGATCATGCCTATCTCCACTCAACTTTATGGTGGGAGTATGGACATCATCGCTGAGCATGGGGTCACAGTCACTGTTACCCCTTAGTCCCAGTTGAGAAGCATGACCGGCTAAATGCCTTTTCTGTTTCCTGTGCTGACCACCATCACGAATGTCGATGAACAAATTGGGAATTTCACTAGGTCAAGGCCAAGGTCAGAGAGACAACACTTACACAGGAGACTTTGCCTTCCAGGGACCATGGACCAAATTAAGAGGCCCCCTTACTCACCTTTTCTCATCCTTGACTCTGTGGGTGAGAGGAAAGTACTTGTAGAAGATCCTAGGAAAAGGGTCAAAGAAGTATCATCAGGTGTACTCCTTACCCCACTAAAGTCGCACCATTTTTTCCTAGGAAGAGTGGCTCCCTGCCCACCCTTTACTCTGCCCTCCCCCTAAAGACACATGTGGCCTTCTGGTCCTTCCACATGAGTACTTTGAGCAGTGACCACCTGAGAGGTGACAGTGGAAAGGGGCAAAGTAAGATAAGCCTGATGACCAACAGACAGCTGTGGTCAGGAGACATGTCATCTTGGGTGATATATATCTATGCCCCTCAATGGGGAAATCACTTGTATGACAGAAGGTGCTTCTGGGAAACAAGGGTGAGAGGCTGATGCAACCTCTGTGCTCCCCAAATTGCATCCAGCCCCTTCCACTCCCAGGTATACCCTGACCCCTTTCTTCATCTGCCTCGATACATAGGACCCCATGTGGGCATTTATATAGGAGGTGAAGAAAGGTCTGAAGGGCTCTACCCTGCGTCCGCTCTTTTCCTCCCTGTATTTCTCAGTGCTTCTTTTTCTCCAGAGTCCCTAGGATGCCCGTCACCAGCAGGGCAACCTTCAGATGTAGCTCTATGATTCAGTGTCTACTAAGACAGGAACAGGTAGGAGATTCCTCACCTGTGATGGCAAGGCACAGTGGGTCACTTGGGTGTGACCATACATGAGAGTGATTGAAAGAGCTGTAGCATCTGTAGGTCCCTCTGTGAGCTGAGGTCACAGGGCCCAGAGGGAAGTCTGCCTGGAACACACCATGGTGACTCTGTCCTCCAGCAAGCCAGCACCCATGGGCCTCACCCTCCCTGCATAGGTGGTACAGGTCATTTCGACTCTCAGAGTGGCAGAACAAGGTCACATTATCCCCCAACATCACCGTGGGGCCTGGCTGGGCTGAGAGAGTGGGTTTCTTCTGCATTCCTAGAAGAAACAGACCTTGATCTTAGCCCACAACTTACACTGTCCTTGGGAGAGAAGGAAGAATTCTCTCTTCCCGCCCTGGAGTGTCCACTCTGTGTGTCTTCTAGTGTCTCTCAGTCTCACTTTGATTCCTGCAGTGCTGACTGCTGTGCGCATGTGTGTTGGACTCTGTCTTTCCCTGAACCTATGATGTTTTCTGCATGTACCTCTGCGCTTAATATTCCTCACAGCCATGAGACATGGGATTGTCTTGAATAGTGGAACTGAGCACAGTTCATGGATTCCCCAGAACATGGGTTGAGTTTAGGTTTCCTCATCTGAAATGAAGAGATGATGGAGTGAAGAGTGTCAGAATCTTCCCAGGACCTGTGAGCACCTCATTCTGCAGGGACAGGCCAGCGTGGTCCTGCACCCAGGTGTTGGGAGTGATCACTCCTCTCTCTTTGTGCAAAAGGACCTGTTAAATCACGTAATTGAGTGACTTCTCTGGGTCCTAGTCTCTAATCAGATCTTTCACAGAGCTGGCTGAGGGGTGTCTGGTGTGTTACTGTGTTCTCGCTGCAGAAGAAAGGTGTTGCAGTATCAAAATGGGAACTCTCTGTTTCTGAGCTGGGGAAATAGCCCTCATCCCTATGTTCATGGGTCTTCTGGTTCAACTTTCTCATTCTCTGTCTGTCTGTCTGTCAGTGCCATCAATGTAAGAAACGTCCAAACCTGTAGAGAAACCTGTGACTCTACTGGAGACAAACAGGTGACAATTGGCAGGAAACAAAACCTCAACATGTTGAGAAAATGCTACAAAGAATGACGGTTTGCACCTTACTTTATAAATTACAGTGAAAAATAGAAACAAATAGGTCACAAATAAATAGAAAACAAAATCCATTGGTGATAGCTTAGAGAGATGGGAGGAAGTGAGTGAGAACCTCTGGGATTATATAAAAAATAAAACGATAGACACATCTTTCACATAGATGGGTACAAGTAGTTAACAGTCAACAATTAACATGATAACAGTAACAATGAGGGATTTTGAGGTCTCCCTCTGATGCAGTGCCAGTGCTTAGAGGGGTCTAGAAAAGAGATATTTGACATTTTGGACTTCTGGCCAAGATGGAGTAGTAGGTAGACACATTGTGCCTCCTTGCACAACCAAAATAAGGACAATAAAAATTTAGAAACAAACACACAAAAACAACCAGTACTGACAGAAAATTGAACTGTACGGGAGTTCGAAAACCAAGGAGTTAAAATAGACACATTCATCCTGACCAGTAGGAGGGGCGGAGTCAGAGTTGGGTGTCTGGGCAGAGAAGGGTCGTGGCAAAAAAAAGTGGTGGCTGGTGGACCCTGGGTGGGCAAGGCAGCAGATGGTGGGCCCCAGCTGTGCAGGTGTCAACTGGCAGACCCTGGGCACAGGCTGGCAGAGGGCAGACCCAGTGAGTCAGCAGATTGTGGAGGGGCGTGGTGCACAAGGCGGCTGGCTGACTGGGAGGTCCCACATTCACACGCAAATAAACCAGGCAAAACTGGGGAGCAAGACAGACCACACAAGTGGCTCCAGTGCAGGGAAATAAAGCCTCAAATCACTGATTGAAAACACCTGTGGGGCTTGAGGTGCTGGAAGAGACTCCCAGTCTCACAGGAGAGTTTGTTGGAGAGACCCACAGGGTCCTAGAACATACACAAATTTACCCACACAGGAATCAGCACCAGAAGAACCCAATTTGCTTGGGGAAAGTGGCAGATGGGACTGAAATCCAACAGAGAGCAAAGCAAGCTCCATTGTCCCCTCTCTGACCCCTGCCCCACATACGGCATCACAGCCCAGCAATATGGGTTACTCCTCCTGGGTGAAAGCTCCATCCCTCACTATGTAATAAGTGTGTCAAGACAAAAAAATGTGCAAATGGAAATACAGATTAAAGCCCTAGAACAAATACAACTAAGCAATGAAGAGATAGCCAACCTACCAGATGCACAGTTCAAAGCACTGGTGATCAGGATGCTCACAGAACTGGTCAAATTTGGTCACAAATTAATTGAAAAAATGAAGGCTACACTAAGTGAAATTAAGAAAAATGTATGGGGAACCAATAGTGATGGGAAGAAAACTGGGACTCAAATCAATGGAGTAGACCAGAACGAAAAAAGAAACAACCAAACAGAAAAGAATAAAGAAACAAGAATTCAAAAAAATGAGGAGAGGCTTAGGAACTTCCAGGACATCTTTAAATGTCCCAACATCAGAACTATGAGGATACAAGAAGGGGAAGAGGAAGACCAACAAGTGGGAAACTTATTTGAACAAATAATGGAGAACTTCTCCAATCTGGCAAAAGAAATAGACTTCCAGGAAGTCCAGGAAGCTCAGAGAGTCCCAAAGAAGGTGGACCCAAGGCGAAACACACTAAGACACATCATAATTACATTACTCAAGATTAAAATGAGGGAGAGAATTCTAGAAGCAGCAAGAGAGAAGGGGACAGTCACATACAAAGGAATTCATATAAGACTGTCAGCTGATTTCTCATAAGGGACCTTGCAGGCAAGAAGGGGATGGAAAGAAGTATTCCAAGTCATGAAAGCAATCTTGGACCTATACAAAGATTGCTGTATCCATCAAAACTTTCATTTAGAATGGGAGGGCAGATAAAGTGCTTCGCAGATAAGGTCAAGTTAAAGGGGTTCATCATTACCAAGCCCTTATTATATGGAATGTTAAAGGGACTTATCTAAGTAGAAGAAGATAAAAAACATGTCTAGTAAAATGACAGCAAACTCACAATTATCAACAACCATGCCTAAAACAAAAATGAAAACAAAAACAAACTGAGCAAACAACTAGAACAGGAACAGAACCACAGAAATGTAGATCACATGGAGGGTTAGCAACAGGGGAGTGGGAAGGGGAGAGAGGGGGAAAAGGTACAGAGAATAAGTAGCATAGATGGTAGGTAGAAAATAGTCAGGGAGAGGCAAGAATAGCATGGGAAATGTAGAAGCTAAAGAACTTGTGACACATGGACATGAACTAAAGGGGGGTAATGCGGGTGGGAGAGGGTGTGCAGGGTGGAGGGGAGTGAAGGGGGGGAATGGGACAACTGTAATAGCATAATCAATAAAATATATTAAAAAATAAAAAATAAAAGCAGGAAAATAAAAAGAAATTTGATATTTTAAAGGTATGTTATCAGATGCAAAAAGAGAACAGACTGGCTCAGTTGAAGTAAAGATTGGCCTTTTTTTAGGGAGAAACACAAGCCTAGGACACGACTATCCATCATGATCTGCTTCTAGTTAGGTAGTTTTTAATTTCAGACCATCCCATGTGGGTAATTGAGGTCTCTGAGTTTGTAAGGTGCCACATGGGCCTTCCCTGAGCTTGTCAAGTTTAATATGTGGCCCCCTTTCTACCTCAGTGTGTCAATTGTTTTCTCTTTGGATTACAGCACTGTTTTTATCCATTCTCCATTTTATCTTCTTTTCCTTTGACACTCTGCCACACAAGCTTTCTCTCCTGAGTTTTGCACTCTCTGTATATCTGCCTTTCTCTCCCTGTACTCATGTTGTACTCAACACCACATCACCCCTTGAAGCTTCCAGAACACAAAGAGAATTAGGGTTGGTGTGGCCACACTCACCTGTGATCATGACCTCCAGGGGGTCACTGGGGGCTGACCACTCATAGGAGGAGTGACTAGAGCCATAGCATCTGTAGGTCCCTGTATGTGCAGGTGTCATGGGGCCCATGGAGAAGTGACCTTGTCTGTTCCTGGCACAGAGCTTCTCCACAACCTGCCAGGAATGCCATGTATCCTTCTCATTGCACAGGATAAACTGGTCAAACACGAGTTCTGAGTGACAGTGCAGGGTCACAGCCTCTCCTGCGTTCACAAGAGAGCTTGGCTGGGCTGAGAGGGATGGTTTTTTTAACACACCTAGGAAGGAAGAGAGTAGGTTCTGTGTGTTGCCTCCCTCACCTCTTCTCCTGATATTCCAGGAGTGGATTTCTTCCTCCCTCAGCCCAGCAATATCTCCTTTTCTTCCTAAGTCTTTGTGCTGCATTTCCCCTGAGCATTCTGGTCCATCCCCTGGCTCATGACGTTCACAGCCTGGATCTCACAGGCTCCCCTCCACCTGCTTTTCTGTTTCTCTTGACTAAAAGCCCCAACCTCTCAGGGCTGGTTCAAAGCTGCATGGTTGTGCGACCCCTGCTCTGCATGTGTGGGGTGCGGGTGACCATGCAGAATGTGTTTCCTGACTCCCTGCACACGTCTCCTAGAGCAAAAAAGACAGCAGTCAGGAGACTAGGGAAGAACGTGGAGACCAAAGGGGCATTTCCCAATCCATTCCCTAGCCCAGTGCCTCTGGAGACCACTCCCAAGGTGACCTTGGCTAATCTGAGACTCTGGCTCCTCCACGACAGGGTTTCAACCCCCCTGGAGGGTCTCTGGGGCTGGGATCAGGTGACATGACCCCTGCTGGGTCTTCCCTGCCTGTCCTAGGCAGCAGCATCCTGCTCTTGCTAATCCCTGAGTTGACTCTCCTGCTTGTTGGTGCTTCGTCCTTTCCCTGGGCTCCCCATTCCCTATATTACACACCCTGTTTCGGCATTCTCAGAGCAGGCTCTCCTTCTCCCAGTCAGGTTCGTCCTGACTGGGAACTCAGCAATAACTCTCCGCTCCATGGGAATCTGACTGACTGTGCAGCGTGGTCATGGGCTGGGCCGGATGCTACCTACCTGTGACCACGATGTCCAGGGTGTCGCTGAATGCTGACCAATTAGATGTGCGGCTGTGGCGTCCAAAACATCTGTAGGATCCTGCATGCTCTATGGTCACAGGGCTCATGGTGAAGGTGGTGATGTGATCTCTCCGGGGCTCAGGGGAGGTCCCCTTTATTTTTGTTAGTTTGACTGAGGAAAACGGAGGATGGTAATGGCACTGAAGAGTCACTCTCCCTCCTAGGGGAACCACAGGGCTTGGCCAGGCTGACAGGGAGGGCTTGTCATGCCCACCTAGAAGAGAGGGATCACTGCCTTAGAGCTCAGAATGGGGAGCTGCCCCTCTTCTTACCCTTTCATGGGGCTTTTCCTCCTTTTCATTCTCCCAAGGCTTCCTCCCAAACTGAGTCTCCTAATGCCCAGATTGGCCTGGTGGGAAATCAGGGACACAATCTAACCCCACATAGACCTGTAGGTCTCCCCACAACAAGAATTATTCTTAGAGTTTTTATAACATGTTTGTACAAGTTAACTTAAAACACAAGTGGCCCTGGCTGGTGTGGCTCAGTGGATTGAGTGTGGGCTGTGAACCAAAGGGTCACCAGTTTGATTCCAAGTCAGGGCACATGCCTGTGTTGTGTGGGCCAGGTCCCCGATAGGGGCCACATGAGAGTCAACTACGCATTGATGTTTCTGTGTCTCCCTTTCTCCCTCCCTTCCCCTGTCTAAAAATAAATAAATAAAATCTTTAAAAAGACACAATTTGAATAAAAGAAATAAACACAAGAGAAAGGAGCAAGTTCTACTTGGTGAAAATAAGGTGAAACAGAACCTTGATCTTTTATTAAGTTCTCCCCCATCAGAGTTGCCCCAAGGGCCAGGAGGCCCTGCCAGAGGTCTGAGGCAGGTCCCGTGGAGGCCCTGCAGTTCCTATGGTCAACAGCAGGCTAGAGAAGGCATGGGACCCCTGGTCCTAAGAGAGTTGTATGAGGACAGGCATCTCATTCCCTGATTATGGAGATGCCAGCCATCTGCCTCAGACCACAGCTTTGGAAATCCACAGCCTCTTTCATGTGAACACAGACCCGAGCTTCGTAGCCTCAGGCAGAGACTAGGATGGTTCTCCCGGCAGAAATAAGACCCTGGGATCACACAGGGCTTGCCGCTCTCCTCGTGGTTCCAGAAGTCTCACCACCTGCCCTCCAGTGTCATCCACAGAAGCCCCAACTCCTCTCTCCCCCAAATCCCTGCTGACACCCAGAGAGTTTGCTGTACACTGTACTGAGGGGATGAAGAGGGCTCACCTGCAAGTGTCCAGATCTTCTGGCCCAGACAGAACCCTGGAAGGAAACCACAGGAGAGGTGACTGATTCCCAGTGGATCCCGTGCTCGCATGCACCCCATTCATGAAATTGGTTCCTGTACCACGTGGAAGCCCAGATTTCCTCCATGACCCACCCCTCCCTTCCTTTCTGGAACTCACCAAGACCCAGGAGGCTGAGGAATCTGGGGAACATGCTGCTGCTGCTGTTGAGCAGGAGACAGGAGTTAAGCAAAGCAGACAAAGTCACAGGATGTGGTGAGCAGGTCCCCACATCCCAGTTTGTACTGTCCACAAGGTGCGCGTCACTCAGGAAGCTGACCAGCATCTTTTCACCATGAGAACAGCAGGTGCTGAGGGTCTGACTCAAACCACATCACAAAACACCCTCAATGACTAAAGTATCATGTTTGTTTGCCCAGAATCCACAATCATGTGAGAGTGTTATATCCTCTTACTGCCCCTTTACATTGTAGTCGCTATTCAATGTGTGACATGCCCTATTCCCTTCCCAAGCTAATAAGTAAAATATTATTGTTAAAAAACTCTTTGCAGAAGGAATATCTAATGCGTGACCTGGTTAATATTCCCTAGGGCTCATGCTTGCTGCAGATGCTTTACTTCTGTTCAAAAAGGGACTTAACCAGTTCTGGCTGGTGTGGCTCAGTGTATTGAGTGCTGGGCTGTGAACCAAATAGTCACCAGATCAATTACCAGTCACAGCACATGCCCAGATTGTGGGCCAGGTCCCCGGTAGGGGGCATGGGAGAGGCAACCACACATTGATGTTTCTCTCCCTCTTTCTCCCTCCCTTCCCCTCTGTAAAAATAAATAAACAAAATCTTTTTTGAAAATAGGCATTTGACCAGAAACATTCTTTCCTCCAGCTTTTTGAGGAATAATGACACATGGGAACTGTGTATATTTAAGATGTACATCTTGGTGTTTTGTTATATATGTACACTTAGAAAAGATTACCAAAGTCAAATGACTGACATACCCATCACCTCACACCATTTCCATTTTTTTCAGCATGTGGGGTGAGAACACAGCTAATTTCCAGTGTATAATTCATTACTTTTAACTATAATTAACACTCTGTACATTTGGTCTCCAGAACATATTTGTCATACAACAGAAAGTTGCATGTATTGATCAATATTTTCTTCTTTTCGCAATCCCTAGCCTCTGGTAATCACCACTCCCCCAATTTCACTTGAGTTCAGATCTCTAAAAAATTTATTCCACATATAAGGGAAACCATGTGTGATTTACCTCACTGTGTCTGGCTCATGTCACTCAGTATGATGTCCTCCTGGTGCCTCCGTGTTGTCTCAAATGGCAGCACCTCACGCTTTTTATGGCTGAAGAGTATTCCGTTGTGTATCCATACACCACAGCTGCTTCATCCATCCTCCACTGAGGGACACTTAGGTGTTTTGCAAATATTCGCTGTCATGAATAACCCTTTAGTGAACCTGGGAGTGCCGATATCTCTGAGAGATCCTGATTTTATGTGCTCTGAACAGACACTCAGAGTGAAAGTACTGGTTCCTAAGAAAGTTCTATTTAATTTTTTTTTTGTGAGGAACTCAATGCCAGCTGCAGGGTCTGTGGGAGAACTGGTTGTTGACACCGACACATCAATTACTTGGAACCCTCCCCATTTCCTCATTCTCAGCTGCCTCCAGAGGATCCAGCCTGCAGAGCCCTCAGCCAGGTAGAGGCTGGCCCTTTGGGCAGTGCTGGAAAGGCTGTGGGGTGGAGGCTCCTGTTCTCTCTGCCCCTGAGAAGAAATCACAGGTGGAGGGCGTCTCCTTGTGCAGAGCTGGACCAGCGGGTGGGAGGGTCGATGTGGTAAAGTGAAGCTGTTCTCACCCTTTTCAACGGGATTGTCCTTGAGTTGTTAGCTCCACAGGGTGCTGGGACTTCACACCTTCACCCCAGAGTGTGAATGTAGTTTTGTTCATGGATGGTGGTTAAATCGTGGCTTCTGTGTGTGAGCAGAGCTGGGACTTATCTCACCACCATCTTGATGACGTAGGTCAGGTGGCTGTCATTTTCATGGTCATTCTAATCACTGACCACAGGGAGCATGTTTTCCTGAGCTCATCTTGCTATTTACAGAACTTGTCTTCTTTGCAGAATATTTTTTTTGGGTAGAAATGCCTACTCAAGTACTTTGACCATTTTTATGAATAGGAGTTTTTGATTTTTGATAGTTGAGTCATACATCTGCTTTACATATTGTAAAGATCATTATTGGATATAGTTGGCAAATACTCCAACCAGTTTTGTATGTTATTTTTTCACTCTCTTGATAGTGTTCTTTGATTCACATACTTTCTTGATAAAATCTAACTTTTTTGGGGGGTTTATTGTACTTTGGTGTCATTTCTAAGGAAACATAAGTAAGCCCACACTCATGAAGATTTACCCATTTGATCCTAAGTTTTAGATGAGCTGTTATACTGAACCATTTTTGAGGTCATTTTGGTGTGGGGTGTGTGGTACATAGCCAGCTTCATTCTTTTGCAGTTTTGTACATTCGTTTATCCAACACCATTGGTCAATGACAACAAGTCTTACTGATAGTGTGTTTGATTTTCAAGGTCAGGAACCCAGTGAGTTTCCATCTGGGAGTAGAATCAAGACAAGCACATCATGCACCCAGCTGCCTGCCCCTGAGTCCTCCTCAGTAGGGTCCAGGAGGAGATGAGGAGTCCTCCTGGACTGCAACCAAATCCCAAACGAGTGCCTGATGGAGTTGACCCTCATTCTGTGAAATAACCCACACATCCATACTGCTGACCTACAAGCATCCAGATGGTTGGAGCAACCAGGGATCCAACCCTTGTTGGACGTTTAACATAGTCAGTTGCATGTCAGGTGGTGATGCACAGGCTGTCAGATTCTGAGATCCAGCATCTGCCTCAGCAGGGACTCCTCATTTGGTTGGACTTAGTGCAGCTGGTGGGGCAGGTGCTGATCAAGTTTTGAGGCAACTGTATTGCCAAGGTGGCACTTTTCCTCTAACATGGCCAGGGCCACCTTGAAGGAAATGCATCACCTAGGTTAGCCTGTGGATTTTATCATCCAACTTCATGACAGCTCACTAAATTATATGAGGATGTAGATAAGTCACCAAATAGAAAGGTGGCATTTTCTTATAATGACAACTGGATTTAGAAGCCAGAAAATGATAGTCATGAAGGACATTTGAACAAACTTTCAACACTGCACTATATTTAACCCCCGAACAGATCACATGGGATCCATTTCTACTTTTGTTCATAGGGCTTCTCTTAGGTGTGCCCGCCTAAGTGACAAATGATGTCTCTTTCTGAAGGTTGAGTAATGGAACAGCCCTGCCTGCTTTCTTTTGAGAATCTTCTTTTATTGACTCATCAGCATGTTTGAAGATTGACATGCATTTAATTCGTGCTTTTGCATTGCCATGTGGTAGGTCATGGTGAACAAATAGAACCTGTCTTTCTTTTTTATTCATGGGGTTTTGTGATGTGTGCTTGCTTTATAATATGAGGGTCACACTGGTCCATGTTCTTGTGAGTGTAGCTGGTGCCTGCATACACAGTTTCTCCAGCATTATGGGGATATGACCATATACATATAATGTATACATTATGGTCATAACTCTGTCTCTCCTCCTTTTACCTAGATCATTCCAATGTACTCCTCAAATGGGTTGAAGTAAGTTTTACCTCCAACACCAATTATTTGAATTCTGAGTCCATTTCTTTTCAGATTTGATACCTTTTCTCTTGACTTTTATGTGAATGTTCTGGGATTATGTTGTCACAATTTCACTGACACTGCGCCCTCACACTGTAGTAGAAATTATCACCTCTAAAAGATGATGAAATGCAGGTCAACAGAAGGCATGTGAGGAAGTTTGGGGCAGATGGCTTTTACTCAGTGGTGACGATGATTCTGTAATCTCCCAACTCTGCACTCAAGAAAGTCACATTGGCATTTTGGCTTGGCCATGAAAGGAGAATTTATACCACAGAAATTGGTAAGCGTGACAAGTCAGGGCTCTCTAACACATGTGTTTTCTGAGTAGCACCACCTGCTGTCCCTTCAAGCGATGACGTTTTGGGGAAATGGCACAGGTGGCATCTGATGGGGATGGGAAGGACTGTGGGAGCAGAGAGGGTGGTGGCATGGGTTTGGATCTGTATTTCCCAGGCTTGTATCTGACTTAGTACACTTAATCAGTTATTGAACCCAGGTTAACCCTGTGAGCTGAAGAGATATAGATTCAATAATGCTCATTTGGTAATGTGATTATAAACAAAGAACATTTTATTACGTAACAGTGGAGAAGGGTGTGAGGTTTTAGATATATGGACTCAAAGAAGCCATATGGGATGGACCCTTGTGTAAAAAAACAAGGGAGGTCATTTCAGGGAGGTCAACAAGAAGGAAGAGAAATTGACATTTAACGGAGGAAGAGCCCTGCACAGGGAGCACTCAGACACTCCCTGCACCCAAAGCTTGTTCACTGCCCTGGACAAATCGGCAGACAGATTCTCCACCTGTGGTCAGACTGTCCTTCATCTCCTCCATTGGGCTCCAGTCACCCTGAGAGAGCCCAGTGGGGCTGCAGGACAGAGCTCTGGGGAAGGTCCTGTGCCCCCTCCTTGGACAGAGCGAATCTGTCATAGTTGATGTCAGAGCGACACTGGAGGGTCAGGCTCTGTCCACAGGCCACAATGGGGCCCTGCTGGGTCAGGAGGGAGGGCTTCCCTGAGCCACCTGCAGGGACCAGACAGGAGTGACAGGGCTGCTCCTCCCATGAACCCTCCTCCTGCCTGGCCCCTAGATCCCTCTTTCTCTCTCTCTGTGTCTGTGTTCCCCTCACCCCACCTCTCACATGGGGCTCCTCTCTCTGCAAAGACCCCAGGAACCTGTCTGGAGCCTTAATCCCTGGATGGGACAATAGTGGAACACATCTGAGACCAAGAGCTCCAGGGAGTCACTGGGCTGTGACCACATGTGGGATCTGTTCCTGTAACAGCCACAGCATCTGAATGTCCACCTGTGGTTGGGGGTCACAGGGCCCACAGGGAACAGGGCCTGGGACTGCCCACTGGGGTGAGGCTGTGAGTCCAGGGTCCAGGAGAGCCTGTCTTCTCCTTCCTTGGTCAGAATGAACCTGTCAAATCCCTGCCATGAGCCACACTGGAGGGTCACGT